TGGCAAAAGTGGAAGTAACTAACGCATATGAAACAAGATTGAGCAATCGCGGGTAGAACCACACTGTCTCCTTCAATGGACTACCCGCAAGGTTAGGTACCACAGACCCCCACATTATTTAATTCGCGACGCGCTGCAGGGAGGCGCGTCAAGCTTCAATTACCTGACAATTTACCTATCAGGGCAACTACCCCAGAATATGTTCTGGCACCTGACCTACTTTACTTGATCCATCGCCTGCAGGTAGGAAAGAAGCCGTCGCCTACATGCATTGTAACCTTCCCGCCAATTCGACAAACACAAATTTTGCCTTAGGCACCTACCTAGGTAACCTACCTCATAAGGTAAAACATGTCTAACAACTTGGGTAAGACTGAACTACCTGATCTAATCTAGTAACTACATAAACGTGTAACGTGCATTGCTAACCATTGGTATTTCCATCATTCAGAGTCGAATCCAGGCGCTACAGCAGCCCAACCCAATGCTGACCAACTGCCTCAATTATTAACACCCCTATCACAATCACAACCTCAATCGTGGTCCCACCTTCAGCTACCACCTATAGCGCAACCAGAGCCATGTTCCAGTAATCAAGCCCCCTTATCGCAGCCTCAATTATGGCCCAATCCTCCGTTGTCCCTATCGCAACCTCAGTCGTTGTCTTTATCCCTACTGAATCCTTATGAAAGAGCATATGAGGTAGATAACCAAATTCCCCAGTCGGTCTGTTCAACTCCGCCACAATATCCCTATCCTTACCAGGCCTGCCTGCAAGCAGCCGTGCTCCCGTCTCAGCAATACACTTCGGTTTATCCTTCGCCACAACCGAGTTCAAGTCTTGCGGAATCTCAAGACGAAGGAGTCGCTCAACCTACCCCGAAGCGACGCAAAGTACAAACTCCTCACACAGATGTGATCAGTTTGCTTAGTGATGACGACGAAACACCTACCTCAACAGCTAAAACTCCACAGAAGACTGCGACATCTCCGGTCCTCCTTTCGTCTTCACCATCATCAAGTCTGAAACCTGGTCATATATCTATAGTCGATGATTCGAGTATGTCGAGTCAGATACCAACATTTGCGTCCCCTTCTCCAGTGCCGCCGAGTAACCAGAAGACAGCAAATCCCGACCACGTCGAGGAACCTACGCTATGTCCAGAACAGGCTCGCCTAGTTGAGTTGATAGCAAGTGGGCAGAATGTATTCTATACTGGCTCGGCTGGCTGCGGTAAATCGACAGTACTAAAAGCTTTCACGAGGCGCCTCCGAGAGATGGGTAAGAATGTTCGCATTGTTGCACCAACTGGCCGAGCAGCATTGCAAGTGGGTGGATCCACGACTTGGACCTATGCAGGCTGGACCCCAGATCATCACAAGCGCACGCTGGACGAGTTGAAAGCAGCCGCACATGGGAAGTTTGTGTCGAAACGGTTCAGGGAAACGGACGTCCTTGTCATTGACGAGATTAGCATGGTGGAAAACCTACATTTTGAGAGGCTAAACGAGGTTATGAAAACAGCACGACATAAATCATATTTACCTACTCAACCCGCATTCGGAGGAGTCCAGATAGTTGTGACAGGAGACTTTTGCCAACTACCCCCTGTGAAACCTTTTCAACACTGCATCCAATGTGGATTTGAGCTGGTCGAGAAAATGACCGTTAATGGCAGGGTCCACATCTGCAAGCGACGCCATGAATATCGCGATGAAGACAAGTGGGCCTTCCGGAGCAAGGCTTGGGCGGAGTGCAATTTCGTTCATGTCCACCTTAACACCATTCACCGGCAGAGTGATGAGACCTTTATCCGAATATTACAGAAGTGTAGGATTGGACGACAACTCAGCTCAGCCGATACGGATCTCTTAATGGACCATAAATGTATGGTGCACCATGCTACTAGACTATTCGCTACCCGGGAGGAGGTTTCTAACGTCAACAAGCGGGAATTCGAGAGATTGAAAACCATAAACCACATTTACTGGTGCTATGATAACTTCATATGGCGGCAAGCCACTCATCCGCATCTAGGTTGGAAAGGCATGAGGAAGCCTAACGGAGTTCAACCAGAAGGCCCCTTACGCGCTCTTGATGACCACCGTTTCGACGAATGCGTGCAGCTCAAGAAGGGTATGCTTGTGGTTTTGCTCGTTAACTTGGACCTAGAGTTGGGCTTGTGCAACGGTAGCCAGGGTATCATCTGCGGTTTTGAGAAGAATGATCCCAATAAACTACCAAAGGCCAAGGATGGAAATAAAGATCCGGTGAACAAGATATTCGGTGATCATGCGGTGATGAAGGAGGGGCAAATTAAAAATTTCATAGATAGCCCTGGCGCTAAGTACAAGACATGGCCGATAGTCCGGTTTCACAATGGTCAGGTTCGCACCATTTATGCGAATTGCTCTATTGCAGAGCTCGGAGACGAGAGGCCGTACAGCTTGCTTATCCGGACGCAGATTCCTCTGGCACCCGCCTGGGCGATGACGATCCACAAGAGTCAGTCATTAACGCTTGATCGCGTTATTGTCAATTTGTCAAAGGCGTTTGAAGAGGGCCAAGTGTACGTGGCTCTATCGCGTGCTACCGGACTCCATGGTCTTAAGATCGAGGGTAGTTCGAAGGGGTTGTTGACCGGGCTAGGTGGGAATCAGGAGGTGCAGGAATTTCTCCGCGAGAAATTCGGTGATTTACAGGGTGTGTTGAGCTCTTGAACTCTTGAATTGTGAAAGAAGGTTACACATTAGCTAGGATAGGACTGGAACCCGGCTGGAATAAGGGATAAAGGATTGCCTCACCGGCCATGTTGGAATCGATGTAGATAATAGGTTAGGTACCTAGGTAGGTATAATCAAGAGGCGTTTGTGTTTATCAATGTTGTGATATGGGACTGGTGCGATGTCTTGTGGCTTGTTCTACTCATTTAGGTATTTCGTTGAGTTTCTAGGGGCATTCAGGGGTAAAGGATGGAAATGTATATTTACTATGGGGCCTTTTAGTATTCCGTAGTGTATTTGCAGATTCAATTTTAGCATCTTCGGTACGACTGGCACTCTATACCTTTACTAAGGCTACTTATGAATGCTATATGTATAAGTGGTAGAGTTCATTTGATGAGTTGCCTCTCCCCGGTCCTACCACCACGTTACATCCTCCGGCTGTATATATGTATGGGTTCTTAGGTACACTAGTAGTTACTCCATATGTAATAACGGTAACCTTTTGCTATCTTTCAATTCCTTTATAGCTACGAAGACTTGTCCAAGTTGATGTCCACCACAATTGTGATACATACCATATTTGGAACAGCCTTGTTCGCTGATTGGTCTGCTGGACGATTGCTAAGGGACAGCCACCCCGCCCCCTTGAGGGCATACCAATGGTTCTAGGAGTATCGAATAAGCACGTGCTAAGAAACGTGTATATTTGTAAACGCATAGCAAATACGAAGATTGGGGGAAGATCCGAGTATGTCTTGCCGTCTGCTGATCCGTCCGGCTTTAAGCAATTCTCGAATCGAATGATATAGCTTTAGCGTAGTTATCGTATAGTTCCCGTCCGCCCCGACTTTTGCCTTTTTTACCATTAGTCGAGAGTCCCATGGATATCTAAGGGAGGTAAGAGGAAGTAGATCTCTAGCAGTCCATCCGGCAGTGCGCTGAGACTAGTCCGGCGCCGCAGAACCGGACCTTGGCCCATCCGGGGGACTGGATAGGTGTTGTATGACGGGTTATATAAATAATAACGTTACATCTATGCGCGTGTTGCGCACATGCGTGGGTAGAACGTGATGGGCAAGTAAATAATTTCTACGGATAAATTAATCTGACGGTCCTAGGTCATTTATGACATCGTAAATATAATCACCGGTATAAATACGCATATACACGAGGCCGAACGAAAGCTTAGAGTACCTATATAATGCTTTAGGGCTATCTTAACCATGATAATGTCGTTCATTTGAGTGTCACAAGGTGGTATTTCTACTGAATGCCAAGAGTTTAAGATATTATAACTTTAGTTGCTCATATCTACCTTAAGCCCTTGGGAGGGCTGGACGCTTTCGCGCCCTTTTGGTTACTCTGTGATATATCTGGTAAAGAGGGCATCAAAATGTGTAGTATTCTGCTCTAGGGGTTAACGGCATTGGGCCGGCAGACCTGGAAGATTTTAAAGGACCATGCACACACAGTGATGTCAGAGCGCATACTATTAAATTCAAACAGTAAAGTTGAGGCCGCAAACAAGATTTCGTAAAGTGTTCATATCGAATTGTCCGAGCTGATAGGCTTGCTCGAATTAAAACGCGGGAGGGGGAGTAAGCAGTCTCAGCTTATATAGATATTACATACCTGCATACCTGAGATCTGCAACGCACTCTTATGATCACGAGACTTATTGATAGTGAGAATGTACGCAGGAGAAGGGCCACTATCACGTGCCTGAGGGTTTTGCTGATGTTGGAGATATAGGTATATATATATCAACACCAGAATCTGCGATAATTAATATCCGAAGCGGCCCACCCGAAGATAAGTGTACATATGGTTACTCCCGGGACTGCGGAGGACTGCCGGAGCGTGGGTGTAACTGTTTTAAAACGCAGAAGCGTGCGTGGCAGAATATCAGATATGTCCGGGATGTTCGATCTGGGATCCAATGGCAGCTGGAGATGTTGGCTGGGTCGACCCGATTGCGGCCAAAGGGGATCCGTGTTAAGCTGCGGGCGGCTCTCCTCCGAGATTTAATCTATCTCGAATATCAGGAACGCAGATGCACCATGACCATCATCCATCCTGGCTCTTGCGCCATCACCTATTATCATCACGCCCTAGGTACCTTGCGAAGTTAAGCTTTGCTAATCGCCCTTAAGCCGCTGGCGATCCCTTTGGACCCTTTCTTGGATCCCTGGGCAAATCATCCGGAAGGGTCTCCCCCCTTTAGTCATTTCCCGCCCTGGGAACTACCCACGAGCGAGACATGTCTCGGACTGCTCGTCGCATATTATCCGATCACATCCCGTCCTATATTCATAAATCCCACCCGTAGGCCGCAGACAAATACCGATAAAACCACCAGGTCGGAATGTCCAGGTTGATATCTGGTCTTTGCTGAGACCTCGACGTGGCCAAGTCTGCCCAGAGACAGGACAAGACATTGTAGCTAGATTTTGGCCGAGGATATACATCGTGGCTATCGACAGTACTGCGCCCCCGTTGGCGCATCCGAGTATCGAGGATGATAACGTCAATCCTGCAGTTGGTCCTATCTATAGGCATCGCAGCAGTATCAGCGCTACCGGCATCATCTCTGCAATCTCGCCAATCATGGACTTTGGGCTACTGGGCGCACGATTTGACGGAGTTCGGATGTAAGCCCATCATATTCATCTGGGCGAAAGCTACTATAGAACCTGGGAATATGGTATGTTTACCCCAAGCGCCGCAATGCGCAGGCGCAATGGCGTACAAGCGCGCACTGCTAACAGACTTGAAGGGCAACACAGTTGGCCCGCGGCTGTCTGATGGACTGAAGGCGCTGTTCGGACCCGCCAATGTAGCTACTCAGGGGGTAGACTATTGGGGGTTCATAGAAACAAACTTCTATCCCGGCGGGGCGCCGCCTTGGGGGATCTTCGATATGCAACTGCTCTTGAACGCTGCGGCGACTTGTCCCGACTCCAAGATTGTAGCAGCAGGTTATAGGTAGGCAACGTTCCCTTATGCCACCATTTCACTTCTCGTGATAGTTACTTCTTTCAGATATCTACCTCCTTTAAGTCCGACGTCAAGTAAACAAGGCTAACAAACCCCCATAGCCAAGGAGCAGCCCTCACGCACCGGGCCATCGAAGGATTAACCCAGGAGGTAAAGGACAGGATCGTAGGCGTAGTAACTTTCGGGGACACGCAGGCGTGGCAGGACGGGGGCCGAATCAAGGATTTCGATACGAACCGGACACTCATCATCTGCAACGCTGGCGATCTTGTGTGTATCGGCACGCTATATGTCTTCCCGGTGCATTTCGACTACGTCAAGTGGGTGCCTACCGCAACGTACTATCTCGCCGGCAAGCTGCTCGAAGACGCCGCCATAAGGCCCTGGCCAAACGGGAGTTTTGTGTTCCCTAATGTGACGGTCCCGGCTCCGCTTCCACCTATTCCGCCGCCGCCTCAGCCGTCTACAGCGATTCCGCAGTCGCTGCCCCCGCTACCGGTTCCAAAGGGCGTTGGTAGTGCGGATACGGATGATTGATTTGTTTAGTATGACGAGGATGGATTATAAAGGCCGTGTAGTACTTAATCGAGGATGTTATGTATAGCGTTGAGCTTGGAGATGTCCCGGGAACTCTACTCGACGCATAGACTACTAGAGGTGCATAGTTATGGGTAGATGTCATTACATAGCATGAAGACTAGAATCAAGCCATAGTCAAGAGCATATTTCTTAGTACGCAGCGCTCGTGCCTCTTCCTATAAAACATGATCAACCAAGCCGCGCAAAAGTAATTCCGTAGAGCAATAAGGAAACCTACACCCTAAGCCTACCGTACTATGAGAATAATACTATCCTCTGAGAAAGGGTCAAATAGCCACCACCATTCAATACCTCTCCTATCACCACTTACCCTACCGACACCTTCTACTCAAGCCCCAAGCGCCTCCCAACAGCCGCACCAAGAATCCCGTCCCTAAACCAGAAGCCATATCCCCGGGTATCCCTCTCCCTCTTCCTCTCCGTCAAAAACCAGCCACTGGCAGCGCATTCGATATAGCACGACGCCCTCTTAATATGTAACAAGACACCGACGATCAACGGAGCAAGGGAAAACAAATACGCACAAGAATAGCCTTTTTTTTTTTCCTCGGCACTTCTCGAGCTCTTTATAGCACCGGATACGAGTAACTACCTACCTAAGGTACCTACCTACCTATATATGTAGGTAACGGGGGCCGGCTGCCGAAAACGTTGCAACTTGGCGTTGATGCCATATCTGCCCGCGGTGAGGTGATTCCCCTATCCCTATCTTATCCCCTGTTAAGCCGGATTGGGCACGCGCAAGGACGGTGAGTCTATGGAATTCCTGGGGTGGGATATTGGGAATATCGATATTGAAGAACGTGAACTGGTTGATGGTATAATACTATGAGGCGAGAGCGCTTCATCGAGTTACGCATGGTTCTCGCGATACCGGCATTGCGTGTCAACCAATGCGTGCTTTTCAAGGTGCTATAAAGTTCCGAATAGCGCATTGAAGTTTCCAAGGATATGATATACAAAAGTCATATTGAGACTAGACATTTCTCATCATGGAATCTCAAAATAACTTCACTTTGCTAGATTTAGGGGTGGCCTCAGGATGTCTTGCGCTATTTCGACGGCGAGATAGTAACTCTAGGCTATCGCGGACAACATTATTGCTAGGTACTTACTATCTACTATAGGGTGCGCCAAAGACATAGAAAGCAGACAAAAGACTTGGGCAGCTTTTCTTCAGACCCCTGACCTCGTCAAATACATATATGCCTCAACAGTTCCGAATCGCCTCAGGAGCTATACACGATACTTCACTATTACTCAGTATCAAGCCTGTCACAAACCTCCATCACCAAAAAAGCGTTGATAATTACAGCCATAATATTCAATATACCACTAATCGAACTCAGCCCGTCAATATCAACAGCGCGCTTTCAAAAACGCATCGACGTATCGACGCATCGATCCTCTATACGGAACAACTCAAGTCAGGTACTTTAAAAACCACAACATCATTCATCATTGAATATACCTTGCCCCTATAACGCCCTGATTAGCTGAACGCCGCATCGCTCCCCTCCTCCCTTCGCCCTGGAAACAACGAACCACCAACAACAGGTATGTGTGTATGCAAGCTCCTCACACGACCCCCGCCCGAATCTTCTTTAGAACTCGAGAGGAGAGAAAAATTATGCTACAAGAAACGGTCGTTTTATATCCTGGATTGTAAACCTTATTTCTTGCTCTTAGCGGCTCCTCCGTTGCCACCCATCTTGACTTTTTGAGCCTGCTCAAACCGTTAGCCAAGTTGTTCTTAAACTTTATGTATTTTTGTGGGGTATCACTTACATCTTTGGCGAACTCTAGACTCCTTATAGTCTCATTCTCATTCTCCTTGAGCGGGCTCACCATGACGAACATCAGTGTCCGGCAACCCTTCCCTAGCGACGGCCGTAGTAACTGGGTTAGAGTGTAAGACCGGAAGTCTACGCCCTCCGTCTTGCCCTGGCCTAGGCGTGATAACACTGTTCGCAGGTAGCTTAGCGACGAGTTGATCTCGACACCTTCCCGGTAGATCTGTTCACCACGCGCCTTGTCGGGGGACTCAGAACCCGCCAAGTCGATCAGGTTTAGGGTGCCCTTTCGAGTCCTAATGATTTCGCCATCTTCGTTCTTCTTGACCCCGCGGATCTTCAAGACTAAGATAGAATGTGAACGCGACGACCGGTCATTCATCGCGGTTGCGGCTGTGTGGCGGTTGTTGTCTGCCGTCCTAACCATTTCATCAAGGTCCCTTTCTTCCTTAAGGAGCGTGAACGAGTGGCCCTTGATGTTTAACTCTTCGCTGATTGGATCTACTGTGAGTGGCTCGGGCTTCGTGCTGCGAGACGCGAGCAGGTCATACAACTTGTCTTGGTAGACCTCTAAATAGCTACCCTCGACCGTGTATTCCCAGCCTAGTACCTTTAGTCTGTCGACCTCACTAAAGATCATATCTTGTGTTCTGGGGATGATACCGTCCCCCTTTCGGCTCATCGTGTACGTCTTGCCTGACCCGGTTTGGCCGTAGCAGAAGATGCAGACCTTCTTGCCATCCATGACGGATTGAACGAGTTGACTAATCTCGTCAAACACGTCTTTGTTCGTGCAGTTGTCATCGAAAACTCGCTCGAAGTTGAAGTCTTTTGGTTCACCAGCAATCATCTTGCCTGGCATTCTGAAGTCTTCTCGCTCTGTCGGTATGGTTAAACCGTCGATCTTGTCCTCGTCGAGCTCGCTCGCTCGTGGATTGAATTTGATCAGAACATCGCTCGATTTGTCTGCTGGCGGCTTGATTCGGCACATGACACGAATATTTCCCTTGAGTTCTTGTACTTGTTCGAAGAGCTTGTGCCGCCTCTCTTCTTCCTTGATGAGCCTGTCTCGCAATGCTTTGGTCTCCCCGTCGATCTTCTTCTGTGCTGCTTGCTCGATTTCTTGAAGCCTTCGTTCGCATTCCAACTGGATGACTTTATTCTGTTCTTCTAGGCTCTGGATACGCTCCGAGCTGATGTCTAGTTTTTGACTTAGAAGACTGATCTGTCCACCTAGATGGCCCTTATCTTTGGAAAGGCTTTCCTCGGCATCCTCGGCTCTTTTTCTGAGCCGATCAATTGTCTTGAGGTTTTCGTCAATGTGAGCCTGGAGTAATCGCTGCTCCTCTTCTGACTTTCTTAAGGTGTCTTCGAAATCTCGCATCCGGATAGACTGCCTGTCCAGATCTACGTTGAGTAAGCGAATTTCGTGTTCGTGGTCCCGCTTCTGTCTCTCGAGGACACTCCGTAATTCCTTATTCTCATGAGATAGGTTGTCTAATCTGGCTTCTGCCTCAACGCCGCATTTTTCTTCGAATTCTTGTTGAAGCTTAGCGACCTTGTCCATTTCGCGTTCATAGTCGTCAACCTTGGTTCTCAACTTTCTTTCATGATCTGCGATTATTTCTTCGCAGTACTTGTCATGGCGTCTCTGTTGATCCTGGATATCAATGTTGAGGTTGCGAACTTGGCGCTCTGCGTCTGATAACTTGTCCATGAGCCTTGCCCTCTCCATTTGCAATTCGTTTCGCTGGTCCTCTAGATTTGCCACTGTTACATCTTAGCGGATAATAGAACCGTGGTATATCGTAACACGGTGACCTACCTCTCTTCTTCGCAACTTCGAGCTCTTCCTTGACACTGAAACTGCTCTTCTCGGTGGCATTCATGAACTCTTTTAGTTGCTGAAATTCGCTGTCCATTTTGCCGAGCTTCTCTTCGATCTCGGATACTACAAACCCGGTGGTGTTAGAATATTTAGACAAATACGGTCCCTTTTTGGGTGATGGTGACATGGTGGTGATTGGGGTCTTTTTAATAATGTTCCAGTGTATTTCAAGTTGATCCATAAATTTTCTAGCTGGGGTTGTAGGGACCACTAGGTCCGTCTGGGCTTCTTCACCTTGTGCTTGATATGGTTCCATGGTACTTAGCCTTTTACGCCTGGGAGTTGTCTGCGGGATGAAGGTCGTAAGCGGAGGGGGCATGGCTGGGTTAGAAGTCGCTTGATTCCTTTGTATGGGGGTCTTCTGTTTGTTGAGTGATAGTGATTGGAATCTGTTAGATAGAGAGACTTCTCTATCTTGAGAGAGTGACTCTTCATAGGAGGTGTCTGCAATATCTTGAATAGATTGGGGCTTCCGAATCTTCTTGCCAGGTAATTTGTTGTAGCTGGGCTTTGCGCGGACATGCGCTACGGGGGGCACTGTACCATTGTTGTTTTTGGGTTGTCCTTCCTCGCGCGTACCCATCGAAGTTGCGGGCCGTCCAGGTTTTACGGCCGATCGTGTTCGCGAATGCGAGTACTGTGAACGAGAAGAGGGGCGACAGCCGGAGCTGATACTCGTAGCATAACTGCTTGTACTGGAGGAATAGCTGCTATTCGAAGTGTGGCGGGACGCTGAGGCGCCGTTGAAGCTCGTGTGGTTGGATCTAGGCTGTTCACCGGGCGAATTAGCATACCAGTCAGAGTATACCATGCTATGGAACGAGGTAGAGTGTTGACTCTAGTTGAAGTTTGGAGTGGCATCGAGCTCTCGAAATTCGTAGGCGAAAGGATATGTTGCTCACCGCGTCTTTCAGAGCCATACCTCTCAAGCTCTGCGAAGGCTGGTATGTAGTGCTAGAGGTGCCGGTATGTTCTCCCGCTCTTTTGGACAGAGGCACTCGCTTGGCATCGGACTGTACGGCTGTATTTTGTCACTGTGAGTATACGCGATCAGGATATTAGACAAATGGGTCGCTCAAACCTGGCGCCGGCACGCTACGCTTCAGCCCATGTGCCGCCGGAATCGACGATGACGGTTGCGACCGAACATTACTCTGAGAACTAGTCATCTCGTGCAGGCCGCTGCCGTTGGAAATAGACCCAGGTCTAGGTATTCCCGTCGTTACTTTCGATGGCTTTTGAATACCGCTGGCCCTAAGTTGCTGCGACGACAGTTAACTCCTATTTCTAGTCTTGCACGCGAGTAATACTGGAACTGATCGGCTCAAAGACCAGGGTTAAAATGACTTACCACACTCTCTGTCTCCATGTTGGCGTCCCGCGGAAGATTAAAGCAAAAATCAAAACGCAAGCCAAATTAAATAACAAAGCAATTAAGCTCCGGATGAGCGCGCGCCAGTTCGAGGTCAAGAAAAAGGAGTCGACGTTAAGATAGTATTGAAGTTAATGTGAATTAGGTTTGAAATGGTAGACTGTTTTTCCATTGAGCGAAGTGGGTAGCGTTTGATGGCGTGTGGCGTGTAGATTGTAGATTGTAGGCGGATAAAGCTTTGAGTTGTGCAAATGTTGGTTATGCAGACCCGTCTTGTTGATTACATGACGACGTTGTCCGGGCAATGGAAATATTAAAACTTTGTACTTTCGTAGCTACGATGATTTGGGGAAAGAGCTTCCAGTTTTATGGGGCTGAAACGGGTGAAGCGGGCTGAACGGGAAGAATCAGCTTACATGGAACTTGGTCTGAGCTTTCCGTCGTTGGCACATTGGCACATGAGATAAGCTGATAGACGTGGAATAGCGCATGGGGGAAAGTTTATTAGGTTAGGTTAACTAAGCATTAAGCATTAAGCGTTTAGGTTAGGTCTCTTCACATGCCAAACACCAAAAATACGAACCCTTGACGCCATCGAGCCGTCTTAATTCTATACCCTCTTTCATTTGACAGGTCTAAATTCCCGTTACACTATTTTCTTACATTCTACTGTACATATCTACCTTTTACATTGGCGCCCCTTACCGTTTTATACCCAACGTTCGGCACACATTATTCCTGGATGTCTCGGTAGCCTCGAAAGAAAGAAAAAAAAAAACCCCCCAAGGCCGGGCAGATTTATCTACTGTAGCTAGCTTCTTAGTTATTCATCATCACACGCGACATCTCCATAGTTCTAGCTTTAGAAGACAAGACAAGATGGAGAAATATAGCCAGTTCCGCGATCGCGGTAAGCTTTAACTTACTATATTGTCTCTGAAGTGATCATATCATGTATGTACCTGACTAATACCGCTCATTAAGGATCTGGCATCTCGCCCTTTATTCCCTCTTCGACGCCGAGTTCGACTCTCTCGTCGCTCTTACACGCGGCTCTCTTCCTCTTCCGACTGCCGCTTTTCCTGTCGTACAGTGCCTTATTCTTCATCTTCCTCGACAACCTACCTTCTTTCCTCGTTCCGCAGGTCATCCGTAAGCTGTTATTATGGACGTTTCTTGGTATACCAGGGATTTGGTGGGTAGATCTGCAGCTCGACGGCGTCAAGCGCGGCTCGCTTTCGCAGCAGCCGAGCTCCCGCTTTCCGGGAAATTCTAGCCGTTCTGTCATTGCAGCGCAGTTTACGAGCCCTATCGACGCTCTCTACCTCGCCGCCATCTTCGACCCTATATTCACCATCTCGTTCCCGGGTACACGCAAGGTCCAGCGTGTTTCCCTCTTGCGCGGTATCCTGCTTGCCCTCTCGCCACCAGCACTATCTCCGCCGTCTCCTAAAAACTTAACTACCCTGCGTGCACTCTTAGAGAAAAACCCACACCGCGTTATCGCCGTCTTCCCCGAGATGAGCACCACGAACGGCAAGGGTATCCTTCCGTTCTCCCCGTCTTTACTGTCCACGCCTGCCGATGCACGGATCTTCCCCGTCAGCATACGGTACACGCCGCCCGATATTACAACTCCCGTCCCGGGTGCTTATATTTCCTTCCTGTGGAAACTACTCAGCCGTCCTACGCATCTTATTCGGGTGCGCATCGCTGAAGGTGTGACCAACAACTTCGCCGCGGCGACGAACGGGGATGGTCCAGCGAACGGAATCCCGGATAAAACCGGTGATGAGCTGGACGGTGAATCTCTCACGTCTGAAGAACGGGCGTTGCTCGATAAGGTCGCCGATGATCTGGCGCGGCTCGCGCGCAACAAGAGAGTCGGCTTGACGCTACGGGATAAGGCGGCATTTGTCTCAGCCTGGAACAAGGGGAAAAAATGAAGTTATGCGTACTCATTTGACTTTTTATGTATTCTTAGCTGGACAAGCTGTTTGCTTACTGGTAGTCATCTAACGTCATCGTTACGTATTTTGGGTGGAGCATGCATCCATTGATTGATATTATTATCTTCCCCCCACGCGGTTCCATTGGAGCGGGAGAATAGGGGTAAAACGAATCGGATTGCTTGCGAGAGGCTATGGTCAATGACAAGAGAAGATATGGATGTAGGTCGATATACGACGTCTGTAAACTTATAGTCGGATTACGAGGGGTTAAACTGATTGAGGAGGTGTATCTATCACTCATCTCCAACCTTGCCGGCTTTAACCTTAACTTTATGACGGGGACTTCATGAGCATTTCAGCTATAGTTTAGATTTACGCCTCTGAATGCTTAAACAAGCTTCCGCAAGTTTGAACTTTGTTCGATTTTTTTCTTCTTAATTACCGCTCATAAGACGACGGCCGGAGTCCGATGCGCCCATTTTCCGGACCAGAAACTAGATCACCGCATAACATAGCCCAAGACCAATAGATACAAGACATCCATCCCACTTGCTTTTTAAGGTTCAACCCCGAATATTATTTTATATACGTTTAATAAGACCTTAGTGTCCCGTAGTGACACATCCGTGGCTGGCATCGCTGACAAGTGCAGCATACTTGGTTAATGTACCCTGGGAGTATCGTGGCGGCGGGGGGCTCCATGCCTTCTTCCTCTCTGCCATCTCCGCGTCGCTGACGTCGGTGTCGATGACGCGCTTCTCCGCATCTATCGTGATGGTATCACCGTCCTTCACCAGTCCAATCGGCCCACCTTCGCGCGCCTCGGGCGTAATGTGACCAATCAAGAAACCGTGACTACCGCCCGAGAATCGTCCGTCCGTCAATAGCGCGACGTCGTTGCCCAGGCCGTAGCCCATGATAGCGGATGACGGCTTCAACATCTCAGGCATACCAGGTCCACCCTTGGGTCCCTCGTACCGGATGATGACTACCGTCTTCTCGCCCTTCTTTAGCTCTCCACGCTCAAGGGCCTGAATGAAATCGTCCTCTTGGTCGTAGCACTTTGCTTTGCCGGTGAAAACAAGACCCTCCTTACCCGTGATCTTACCGACGGAACCGCCGGGTGCGAGCTGACCGCGCAGGATTTGGATGTGACCTGTGGGTTTGATGGGGTTGGAGAATGGTCGGATGACCTGCTGGTCCTTGGGAAACGAAGGCCAGGACTCGACGTTCTGCTTCAATGTCTTGCCCGTTACAGTGACATTATTGCCCTTAAGGACGCCCTCGCCGATGAGGAACTTGAGTAGGGCAGGGGTGCCGCCGATCTTGTGTAAGTCTTCCATTACGAACTTGCCAGACGGTTTTAGGTCGGCAAGGAAGGGTGTCCTGTCCGAGACAGCTTGGAAGTCGTCTACTGTGAGCTTTATGCCCACGGAGTCCGCAATGGCGATTAGATGCATGACGGCGTTTGTGCTGCCTCCGAGGATGTTTACCACGATCATAGCCTCTTCGAACGCTTCTCTCGTCATGACATCCCGCGGGCGTATGTCCTCCCTCATGGCGTGCTTGATTGCTTCGCCAACTTGTTCACATTCCTTGATTTTGCTAGGGTCATCGGCAGGACTGCTACTGCTACCTGTTAAAGTCATTCCTAATGTCTCAATAGCGGTAGCCATTGTGTTTGCCGTGTACATGCCACCGCATGCACCTTTTCCGGGGCATGCATGTCGGATAATATCGAATCGCTGCTCTTCCGTGATGTCGCCCGAAATGTACTGTCCGTACGCCTGAAAAGCGCTAACAATATCAATTGGCGCACCAGACTTACTGCAACCAGGCTTGATAGTACCACCGTAGACCATAATACTAGGACGGTTCACTCGGCCCATAGCTATCAGGACACCAGGCATATTCTTGTCGCATCCGGGTAACGAAATGTTTGCATCATACCATTGACCTTGCATAACGGTCTCGATACTGTCTGCGATGATTTCTCTACTTTGTAGAGAGTAGCGCATGCCGGTTGTACCCATAGATATACCATCAGAGACACCGATCGTGTTAAACCGGTAAGGAATAAGCCCGGCGCGTGCAACGGACTTTTTGACCACAGCCGACAGATCCATTAAGTGCATATTACACGGGTTACCCTCGTACCATACCGACGAGATACCGACCTGAGGTTTTGATAGGTCCTCTTCGGTAAGACCCGTCGCATACAGCATAGCTTGTGACGCACCCTGAGCCTTGGGTTGTGTGATGGAGCGGGAGACTTTGTTGAGATCGGAATCATTGGAACGGCGGCAAGACGTCGTGCTTAAAAGGCGACTAATGATATAAAACTCAGTTATAGGTACGTATTAGGGATGCATTGTGTCGGTTTAACATACGCATATTGTCTTGACGGTGCGAGCGCGCCCCGAACCAGAGCTGCCGGAGCTCTGGCTCGAAGGAGAGCATGTAAAGCCATGGTGAGCTTAGACGAGGGGCCGGAGCTGTTGGTGGACCAGCAGACTCTCTCCCACAATTGAAATAAAGTCAATTGATAAGGAGGGTCTTCCAACAATTAAGCCCGATGTCAAAAGAATTCGAGGTAAATTAGGTACCTAAGGCAACTTGCGATTGGCCTTTTAATAAGTATCACAACTTTGTTGTAAATTTTTGATGAGTCGAGATCAAAAAATTCTTGGGCGACATCGGCCGGTGACAAAAATCTATAAATTGATTGGCGAAGCAGCGGAAGCAAGAGACGATGCGGGTATGCCAAGTCCCACTAAACCCCGCATTAATTAGGGATCACCTATGACCATTTACAGAACTGCTATTGGCTCGCTGTTTGGATACTTGATGCCCGTGGGGCCGACTAGGGCCGACATGTCCGGGCTTGTTCCCGATCGCCGGATCGGACTCGGTCCGTAACTGATTGCTCAACTAAAACAAGTGCTAGCTTATACTGCGAGTGAGAAGGGAAATAGTAACCGATTCTACGATTTCTCTATTCTCATTATAGACTTAATAAGGGAATAGTATATGTTAGTCAGTTGAAGCTATTTACGGTTTACCGGGACGAGGTCGAGCAGTGTTATTTGTCGGTACAAGATCATAAATACACGCGTGAATCAACAGTTCAATATAACTTCTCTGAAGTTTCGATTTGAGAGAATAAGGTCTGCCTGTTTGACCTGTTTTTTTCTTAGTGGATAGTTGATACCAAGTAAAGCAATTGATATAACTACTAACTATTACTTAACATCAGTTAGTGTCCAATTACCCTGCCCTGCCAGATAGTAAAACTCGAATTACTAAAGAGGTACCTAATATTGTAAGTGAGCAGGTGCTAAATAGACTGAGAATAAAAGGTACTTTCTACCTTCGTCGTGTAGCTCATCGATCTGCCCGTGAGTGCTTGAGTCTCGGTAACCTCAACCCCTCTAACTTGTCCCTTAGTAACAATCGAACGATAAGTTTCATAGTCTAAGAGCTAGAGCTCTTAGTATTCGTTACTCAAATATACGGCTATAGACATGGTCCAATCCAGAGCTTGGATTAGATGTATTACCTTCCGAAAAGGGATATCCGTCACGGCTCCGCTTTGAAGTCTAGAGCGTACTCCATCTCTTATCGCACTCATGCAATGTCGGTACAGGGGCCGAGATCTGCCCCACTGCTCCGAGCTCTTGGGAGGCCAAGGTGATAGAAGCTTATCTCTTATATGCCGTGTGATAGAAGTCGCATGTATTACTAATAACGTCATATTGTCCAAGGAAGCGATGCGGAGTCGCACATGCATCAGTAAGATGTAATCTGGAAATCGAAGAGAATAATTGGAGATTACGGCTTCTGGTATGACACTGTGTTATTGGCATAGGCGTAACATAGCTTAAGTCGTTTCTCGATAATATGGCTATTGCTGGCAGTGCCCTCTCGCAGAAGAAAGTCAACGGTGCCGAGTACGATGATCCGGTTCGTGTAGACAGTGAAGTGGGATTTACTAGTCCCGGACTTCCCAACGATGTTTTCGGACAAGAAGACAACCATGATATCAAATACAAGACGTTGAGTTGGCCGCTCACTGCCGTTCTCTAATGATCACTGAAATCATCTCGAACGGTATGTTGAGCTTGCCGAGCTCTTTGGATGCAGTTGGTATCGTCCCCGGCGTTATCGTCATTGCATTTTTAGGTGTCTTCGCGACGTTTACGGCCTGGTTACTCATAGAGTTCAAGTTGCGACATCCTGAAGGTACGTAGACCTAGCAGCTCGCCGGCGTTTAAGATTAACTAATAAGGCATGTATAGTTCACAACATGGGTGATGCCGGGAACATCTTATTCGGGCCTGTTGGTAGAGAGATATTAAGTGCGGGGACCGTCATCTTCGCCGTCTGTTCCGCGGGGTCTCAGATACTCGCCGGCCAGCTTGCCCTAACTGTTTTATCTGACTCGAGACTGTGCGCAACAGCATTCTCTGGCATATTCACCATCGCGGTAGCCATTTGCAGCTTTCCCCGAACTCTCCATAATCTAAGTTTGGTCTGGGTGGTCGGCGGGATATCCATAATATCTGCAGGAATTGTAGCGATGGTAGGTGCCGGAGCTGTTCCCGTTGACAAAGGGAATATAGTGATCACAAGATCCAGCGACTTTACGTCGGCTTTTATTAGTTTGACGAATCCTGTGTTCGCCTACGCCGGTCATTTTGTGTTCTTCATTTTCATCTCAGAAATGAAGCATCCACAAGATGCAATGAAGGCGGCATGGACACTACAGATTGTAGCAACTTCTTTCTACATCGCGTTCGCTGTTGTGACTTATTGGTATATAGGTCAAGGAGTCTCTAGTCCGAGCCTCCTTAGCTTAAGCCCGCTGTGGTCTAAGATCTCCTTCGGGCTTGCGATTCCCAATTTCTTCATCGCAGGTAGTCTAAATCTTCATACAGCTGCCAAATTGGTCTTTGTTCGTCTCTTTAGACGGAGTCGTCATATACATTCGCATACTTTTACTGGCTGGAGTGTTTGGACATTACTCATCCTTCTGGTCAATACCGTTGCATTCCTCTTTGCAGTTGGAATCCCTATTTTCAACTACTTGGTTGGCATTGCGGCATCTATGTTCGCTGCTTGGTGTACGTACCGAATTCAATGGTCTCATACCGTCTGTAATTATTTACTTTTTATACCGACTGAGACTTGTTGCTTTTAATACGTATCTGAGCCCCTGAGTTTCGTTCCTTGCTTTTTGAAGTACTTGCTGACCCTCACTGTTGCAGACACCTACGGGCTCGCTGGAGCGTTCTGGTTACACGACACATATCACTATCACGGAGGATATGATGGATGGTTCAAGAGGCCTATAATGTTTATCCTCAATGTACTTACGGTTCTTGCGGGTGGGTTCATTTGCGTCGGTGGACTGTATGGAACCATTTACTCACTGCGGGAGGCTGCTGGCGAGTTGCCACCACCGTTCCAGTGTTGATATTGATTTTCATTCGCTTTTGATATCATATGCGCAGAAAGAAGTATTAGAATGCGCTATGATACAGTAGATCGGACTAAAAGCTCCGACTTATACCATTCATCAACAAAGATGTACATGATTTGCGTTGTTGACAAACAAAAGACTACTCGAAGTGAGGCTCTCCACAATTATATCATTATTGGTTGTGTTTGTAGTTTTACCAATTTGATATCAGGTATGTAGGAATAAGTAAGGTGAGGTCATGATCCTGGAGCTGTGACGTTTTGCCAGCCTATGACGTCAACATTATAAGCTTCTCCTAATAGCACAAACAAACCTTCGAAATCTACTTATTAAAGAAGCGCATAATTCATAATTGTATGTTGTCTTCTTCAATCATATTAAATGATACCAATTTAAACCAAACCAACTTATATACCCTACTCTGCGAAGCAAAACGCAAAACCACCCATCATTTTCCACCAACTCCTATCAGACAAAACACACAAAGACACCAAATCAACCAAGATGTCGTCGAAAGCACCTAGCGAGGGAACTAAGGTCACCGCTGGCCGAAACGCCCCCGTCTCCAATGAGGCACCCGGGGTTGTAAGCGAGGGTTCACTCGCCGCAGAGTCACAAGCATTCCGCCAAGCCAACCAGGCAGCGCCTCAACAAGTCAGCCGTGAGGACTTAACATCCGCCGCAAAGCCTCACGAGGGCGGCATTCACCAAGCATCCACTACCAACACATCAGGCCCTGGCCGCAGCAACGTGGACACCGCACCTTCATATGTGCAGAGCCAGTTCATAAAGGGCCCAGGAGGTCCGCACGGCAAGAATTTGACAGAGGACGACAGCATCGGCACAGAGGACAGGAAAAAGAACGCGAGCTTCTCTGAGTTCGGAACAAAGAATGACCCCGGACTGGCCGCTGAGAAGAAATTCGTCTCTGGGTCAACAAATACCGGCTCTAACGCTGGACGTGAGAAGCGTGTGGATAATCAACAGCCGTATGCTGCATTGGGCGGGGACACGCAGGCATGAGGGAGTTGAAGTGATAAATAGGTATTTCGGGAATTAATGATATTGAGATAAAGGGAAAGGCTACCTGATGAACAGGATACAGGCCACAGGAATGAGTTAATGAAATAAACTCCATGACAAGTATTGGACTTATCGTCTATTCTCCCATGTGAAATCCCACTTGTGTCTTATTGAATCACACCAAATACATGTAGACATATTGTACTTGCCCTTGTTAAAAGAACGATATAGGAGCAGTGTACCTAAAGCATCTTGATTGACTAAGTGAACTTCTCCGTGAGTGAAAGGGGAAGCCTGACTTTATACACGTTCTCGCTGAGATACCTCGAGTAGTCCCTTTGGCTACTCATTTCGAAAGCTCTTAAGTTGAATTGGAAGCATCAAGTTTGACAGGGCACTTGATGTAAGATGTTACTATTTCTCCTTTCTCATTAGACTTATGGTGATGCTCCTCGTTGATGATCTTACTTACATACAGTCCTAAGTAAGACTCGTTATTATTGATAATAGAATATCTAGACATATCTGGTAACTCTAAATGCTTTGTTATGGATAAACTTGTAACTAAGTGTATATACTACTATACAACTTCAATGAATGATTCCAAGTTTATACAGGAGCCTTTTATTTCGCAATGAAAAGATTCAAGCTTCAAAAGTATAATCTCTAGATTAAAGATATCTTGTGTTTATACTTTTAATACTATAAACACGAGTGCACTATAGCTGTAGTCTATTTTAAGTATTTGTTAAAGTGAACCCCTGATCCTTAACCTTGAGGATCTCGCCTTATTACTCTTAGCTTTGACGTGTATCTCCAATACATGAAATGAAGTCAGATGAAACGCCATCCTAATATACACTGTTAAAGAGTATATTGGATTGCTTGCCCATTGTTCACGCGGCAAAGTTACGCCTCCACCGGATACAATTGAGTGGCTTAGTCTGTAATCTGCTAGGATATACTTCTTGCTTAGAATGTTTCCACTTTGATCTACCATATCCCTATGCGAGTTACGATTCAGACTCGCGTACACCGCCATATATCCATATTGTTACCCCTTAGCTCCGCGTTGAGTTACGTTAGTGAAGCGTATACGTGACGCGGCTTCGATTGTAGAGTGGTAACCAAGGGTGGGACGTAAATCGGAAGCGGCGACCAGGTATCGACTTTTCTATGAACCATCACTAAACAAGTACATATTGTTTATTCGATCCTGTATCCTGTGCCGAGGTTCTATCTACATCCCCTGGTCTTGGCAATTCCCAGACAATTATCTCTACTGACTTGATGCTTGGGAACATAGCGCCGAAGGTAACGTACCTAAAGCCATTTGAGCATGGCATCTTAGACGCCATGGTATTCCGCCATCTTGGGAACGGCTGAGATAAGACCTTAAGCGCCCGCCGGACGTGGGAATCGCAGCAGAGATATCCTGGGCTAGATAGGAATATTGGGGTTACGACGAGGTGGATTGAGTCGACGACGATAGGTCCTATAATAAGAGACTTAAGAACCACTTTATACCATATATGGAATGTGCTACTTTTATTTCAGAGTTGGAGTCTGTACTGAGACCATTTAGGAACTGCGGAAGTAGTGAGTATTGGTAGTTGGTGACGCGTCATCACAAGCCTTGACGCGCTTCTTTAGATACTGCAGTCCAACACTGCGAAACTACCGCTCTTTTACTCTAAGGCGCTTATTGGATGCGAGTCGACTGTGTCTAGATCTCAATAGAATGCTATTCCGAGACTTTCTCGGCGCTATGTAACATATTGATAGAGCTGTATACCACCTTGTCGTCCGAGGCCGAACCCCTGGGTTCCATAATGCGAGCGTATTATAGGAACCATACAACTAACTTGATATCACTTCACATTGCCACATGTCATAACTTCTCAACTAGAAGCTCTATTTACCACATTCCCTTCTTAGTAGTGATTCACACGTGCAGATTTCCAGTAGTTTAGTGTTATAAGCGTATCCGCCAACCAGTTTACTTACCGCTCTGCCCACGCGACCCCCACCCACGCAGTGTATCGTATCAATATGCCAAGCATTGCATTTCCTTTCTCATCATAAGCTTTTTCTTGTTAAACTGAAGATATTCCTAGATTATGTAAATGACAATTGGCTCCAGCCTTGAATTCTGCACTTAATTCCCCTTCGAGTAGATATTGGTCTATGCTTTGACGATCTCTGGGGAAGCACTACATAACAAAAGAAAGAAAAGGGCTGCAGCAAACTGCAAAGCCCTGAGTAATCGTGTAATAACACCGGATTAAGCCGCGGCGCTCTCGAACCCTCCTTTCTGGTAATCTAGCGGCATGGCGACAAATGTAGTAGTAGCACGCCACGCACGATAGCAGGGTTGTGACGAACCCACCTACCGGTGCCAATATCTAAAGGTGAAGAGGCAATTAGTATCTAGGATAAGGTTAGGTATGTATGCAGGTATCAACCCTTACCCATCGTCGGTGCGAGGGGTGTAAGCGTAACGACGAATAGAGTTGGCGGCCGTGTTAAAACAAAACGGTCATGGGCCAAGTAGGCTGAGAAGGTAGCTTTACTGTCGTGAAACTTGAAGGATCCGTAAATGTCATGACGGTTCCACGCCGGTCCCGAATATTTGAAGATTACGCAAGCCGGTGATAACACGGCCCTGTGTGCCCTGGGTCCTTTATGTGATTCGATCTAGGTATCCGCATATACTGGATAGGTTAGGTGATACACAGCGTATTCATTCGGTCGTGTCGCGGGTCTTTGCATATCAGGCCGTCCAACCCATATGTGAGGATACATAGGTTAGGTAGGTAGGTAGGTAGGTATGTGAGAGCACCCACACCCGGTAGCCCCCGGAGTACGATACTGGTGTAGATGTCATGTACACCCACGGGGGAGCGGAAGATAAGATTGCATTATCGACTACGAACTATATAGCGACCGGGAAGGATCAGGAACGGAAGAAGTTCCCTGCACATGCAGCATTTATGCTAATTCAGGGGGGTGAATGCAACGGACCCTGCAAATCAAAGGGTAAATAAGGATTCGACCTGCCCAACAAGCTTTTAGAGTGCCGAGCACCTATGCTGATCTTGGTTGATAAATTGCAACGCTGCATGGCACCCCGGCATCATCCCATGTGCGTTGCATCGTAGGGTTCAGTCTATGCTGACTATGGTATGATGCATTCTTCTTAGTTGCATTCTTCTTAGTTGGGGACATTATGACTTGTAAACATGTATCCCACTTTCTCTACTCTGCGGCCTTCAAGATTATGTGCATTTGCTGGTTGTCTCCGCATCGCCGGTCATTGTATTGTCAATATTATGTAGTTATTATGTAGTTATTATGTAGTCTATTATAGTCATCTCTCTAAGCTTGATACATTGTAGATAACATGAAAGCCCCTTATCTACCTACCTATCCAAAGCTTGTGCTTGACACTATTAAAATTAATTAGCTTCTCATATTGGGGTAATTCTAGAAAGGCCTGGGCAGACGTACCATGCTGAAGTACACACCTCGCTTCTGGAGGAGGGCAATATGAGTACCGGATTCTAGAACCTGGCCATCTCCAAGCACGAAGATAACGTCGGCGTTCTGAATCGTAGCAAGCCGGTGGGCAACTACTATCATAGTCCGACTCTTCTTCGTTCGCTCGAAGACGTCTTGTACTAGCTTCTCCGTCTCCGAGTCGAGGTTAGAGGTGGCTTCATCTAGAAGCAAGAGCCGTGGGTCTCTGATAAGTGCTCGAGCAATCGATATGCGTTGCTTTTGCCCGCCAGATAGCAGGATTCCTTTGATACCTACCTTTGTGTTGTACCCTTCCGGGAGAGAACTGACAAAGTCGTGGATCTCGGCATCGCGACATACTTGCTCCAAGTCTTCGTCGGAGACCGTGTCAGGGTCAACACCGAGGAGTATGTTCTCCTTGATACTGCCGTTGAACAGGGATGGCTCTTGGGCCACTAGCGAGATTGTTCTGCGGTAGTCTCTTAGGTCGATACTGTCAATGTCGATATCATTGTATGTTATGCTTCCAGATTTGATACTGTAAAACCTGCATAGAATTATGAGTTTTAGATATCCCATGAGGGGATGTCGAATAAACTAACCTCTCTAGCAAGGAGACAATACTCGTTTTTCCACAGCCTAAATGGTATTAGAATTTCAAAATCATGAGCTGATCCTGACAAGACTTACCGGAGGGCCCAACGATGGCCGCGAATTGACCTTTCTCAATCTAGTTAAATTAGCGTAAGGCACAGGAACCCGGTGGGCGGCGCGCTTACAGTCATGCTTAACCCATTCAACACGGGAACATCCCTTGTCGGATACTTGAACCACACATCTCGCAGCTCAATCTTGACTCCTCGAGTATCCGCGTCAACTGCCTCGTCACTTATGGTAACACCCCGACCATCGCCGTTATCATTATGCCTCATGGCCTGGATTCTATTTGCCGCTGCAGTAGCCTGCGCAATATCTAATAGAGTTTTAGCATTTTCGTGGCGTGATTTCTCCTCGATCTAGACCTACTAGGTACGAAGCTGAGCCATTGTCCTGCTCCTGTGGCACCCTAGATTGGTTCGGTTAGATACCTAATTAATTTGTATCTATACTCATGCTTTGAGATTGCTTACTTGTACCACAGCAATGTAAACAACCACTTAATATGCGTATTAGCTTCTGTGTCGTGGAGATGGTCATTCATAACTTACGATATTGGAATGTCCAGTACTCTCCTGATACTAGCAGCGTACCTCCATACCTAGGTAAATAGTCGTCAGTTAGCCATGAAAGTGCACGTGTAATCCGTTGGGGAACAACGTACCATAGTACAAAGGCCATACATAGGAATGGCAAACTATCACTTGCCGAGAACACTATAGTCGCGAAGCGGGATCTTTTGAAAGCATTTTGTACATGCGCTTGTAGTAGCTCTTCGTATCTACGGCAGATGTTATCCTCTAACGTGAGTGCCGTTACCGTACGGATAGCTCCGATAGATTCGGTGGCGAATTTGGCGCTCTCGCCAAAGACTTTTAGGTTCATGGTTTCGAACCCCTTTTCGACACGGATGCGGAAGAACCCAGCAGCCAGAGCCAAAGGCATGGCAGACGACAGAGAAACAATGGTGAGCTTCCATCCAAAGTAGAATGATATGATTAAGCACCCAAGGACACTGAGAATCGATATGGCCGCAAAAGCCATATTCGTTCCTAGTAGTTGCTGAAGCTGTGTAGGATCGCTGGCCACGATTCCAGTGAGAGCACCGATTGATCGCCCATCACCGTCAAACCAGGACACAGTCTTGGAAATTATGCTTTGGAAATACTCTCGTCGATATGTTGAAGTTATATACTAGTTATGCTTGTTAGTTAGAAAACTTTATAAAATGAGTAAACTAGACTTACGAAAGAGACAACTGTAGAAGAATATCCCAACGCAAAGTAGCCCACTCCGGCTGCAGACGCAAGCGCCACGAACATGAGACACCAAAAATTAGTGACAGCGACCAACGTATCGCCCCAGTATGCAAAAGACGAGATA